TGTGTGTGTGAGTTTGAGTGTGTGTGTGTGTGAGTTTGAGTGTGTGTGTGTGTGAGAGTGTGTTTGAGTTTGAGTGTGTGTGTGTGTGTGTGTGTGTACAATGACATTTTTTATAGATAAAAACCATGACCTTGACTGATGTGACCTTTGACCACCAAAATGCAGATACTGCACTCTGCCTTTGGATGACCTTACACAACTAAAACACTATTGCAAAAGCAAAGTGCAGTATCTACAAACTAAATCAGATACAAAACTAGTTCATCCAGCTTTCTTGTTGTGTTTCGTACATGTTGATTGATGTTTGCATGTTGTGAATGTTAAAATTGCTCAGTAGTAAGCCTCAAGATCGTCTTATCTCAATGCTCTTTTCACCACAAAGAGTGTTTTGCTCATTTTATTTAAAAAGTAATTAATTACAGACCAAGTAGTTAAAACAGTAGTTAAAAATTCACACAATTTAAAAGTTTTTTTTTAACAGATAACCAATTATGTTTGTGTGAATACTTAAATACTGTAATTCTCTATATTTATCGGGATCGCTCGCACTCGGTGTTGTCGTTATGTGCGCGCTTTGGACAGTCATCGCGAGAAGCGGTACTCCTGAAAGCTGAATAAATAATCTTTCCATTGATGTATGGTTTGTTAGCTACAAATATACCCCAGCGACTTAACACTGCTTTTGTGCTCCAGGGACACATATTTAGATCTAAAGTGTTTTCCTGTGGATTCCAGGTCTGTCGCCGCATCATGTGACGCTTCCCGTCCCTCATCACCATGACCGATTCCCGTGCGTCCCTGCCTCCGTCTGGACAGAAATTCTGTGTTGTGTATTTACATTTTTTAAGGCATAAAACAGTCGTTTAATTTATCTTTTAATTAATGAAAATTAAAACAAATTTTATTTTTGGAAAATAAAAGGGGATGCGCCATTCATTAACACAGAGACACGCAGAATTAATATTTAAATAGGCATTTTGCGGCTTACAAATACTAGTGGGAGTGTGAGTGTGCTCACTTGTGTGTGCGCGCACGTGTGTGTGTGAGAGTGTGTGTGTGTGTGCGCACGCGCATCGGGGCGTAACTCCGCTGTGCGTGATACAGAGAGCGCAACCATGTAACAGAGACAGAAATTACATGCTGTCGTGTAAATAAGATAAATAACATAATAAGGCTATTTAGTTTGTTTAATAAAAGAACGAGGTATAGACCTGTTCTATTGGAAAGGTAACTTTAAATTACTTCTGTTGTGATCTGGCGCTATAGAGAAAATAAAATTAAATAAAATTAACTTGACCTTAAAGGGGGGGCGGGCCCCTAATATAATGTCAGGGGAAACACTGTATCCTATATCACAATGTGAGTAGTTTTATATCACGATTACAGAGCTTCCCACAGGTTTGAAATATACTTGTGGTGGTAGCCGGGTGGAAAATCCTCATATTACCCACGGCACAAAAATGGTCTACTACATGTGACAAACAACAAATAACGTGTGATTTTTAACAATATTTGTATTTATTGAAATTAATTTTAATTACATAGGATACTATTACATACTACAAAATTACAGCATAGTTCTCCTTGCTTTGTCATGTACTGTCTCTCAGTGAATGGGACACAGATTTTACAAAAAATCTATATATTGAATAATATGCGTCAAATAATTTTTGACACATACATTTATTTTCTTCCTGTGGGGAAGCATCCCAGACAGAAACTACAATAGTTTACTTCGAATTAAATGGAAATGAAATGAAATACAATTTATTGTGTAACCAAAATACAAATAATGCCCAGAAGAACGGGGGGGAAAAACACTTAACGTATGACTTTTAATTAAAAACAAGCCCGAAAAACACCGGGACTTTTATTTTGAAATGTCTACACTACTGCGGGTTGATTCCTCAGATGAGGGATAAAATATGCATTCTTACAACCGTCTAAAACATATTATATAAAGGTCATAAAGTAAACATTTTATTGGCTTGTGTTTTTTTTAAATTTAGTATCATTAAAATTGAGTTAAATTAAAAAAGTCTTAGAAAATTACTTTATATTATTTAATAAAATAGTAAGCAATTATTACAATGCATTTTTGGTTTTCGGCCAAGTGCATCCTGAATTTTCGGTTTCGGCCCAGAATTTATTTCAGTGCATCCCTATAAGGATAACGTAGAGCTGCACGATTAATCATTAGAAGATCGCAATCTCGATTCAAACACCCACGTACGACTGCACGATTAATCGAATGCGATTGTCACGCGCATTTTGCCAGTAAAGCCAGTTCTGTAATCAGCAGTAAATCTCCATCACGTGCAACATTTGCTACACAGAGCCGCAGTTCACTGACAAGTTACGCAAAACAATCGCAGAGGATATTATTGTTCGCACTGCCGCTGACAGAGACAGATCAGCTATCATCTTTAGGAAAGAAACAGCTTCACAAACAGTGAAAAAGTGTTGGCCCCCTTCCTGATTTCTTATTTTTTTGCATGTTTGTCACACTTTAATGTTTCAGATCATCAAACAAATTTAAATATTAGTCAAAGATAACACAAGTAAACACAACATGCAGTTTTTAAATGAAGGTTTTTATTATTAAGGGAAAACAAAATCCAAAACTACATGGCCCTCTGTGAAGAAGTGTTATTAGACTTATAAGTGCATTACCGCCACCTATCTCTCAAATGGACCATTGCCACTTCTAATTGAGATTGTAGATAGAGTGTCAATGGTCCAAAAGTCTGCGATCCGCCGTGTATAGGTAAGTAATAATATTTTGTAACTGATACGGAACTTAATAGGTATCCCCCACCCCTAGGTAAGAAGCAGCCGCTCATGAAGGCCGTGGATCGAGTGGAGCTCTCCGGAGACGCCGAGGGCCTGATGGCTGCTGTACAGGCGCGGCGCGCGCGGCACATACTCCCTCGGCTCTCCGCCGACGGCACCGTCGAGTACGCACTCGCTCTTCCTAAACCGGGACAGAGACGGACGCCTCAGCTGGGCTCCGGGGCCGATCTGGACTGGGTTCTGAACGGAGGCCGGGTTCACAGCTCTCGCTCAGACGTGGATCTGACGGATGACGCGCCTCAGCAGAGTAGGATGGTGAGCGCTGGGAAAGGGAAGAACAAGCTGCCCTGGGAGAGATCGGCCCTCTCTGTGGAGCTTCAGACCAATGGAAGGTCACCTGATCAGGTGAGCGATGACATCAGCATCATCACACACACACCTGAGATCAGCGGAGCTCTCTGAAACCTTATACAGCCACGGCATGACCTTTAAATGATCAAACTCTGCTGTTTTCTACTGCATGTCTTCTGTCTCTGATTGAGAGTTTAGAGTGTTTTATCCAGTCAAAGCTCTTTTAGTGTAATTGTAGAAACGTCCAGCTTCAGCTCGAGCTTCATGAGTAAAATCTTGACTGGTTTTGATCAAGTAAAGGTCAGAATAACTGCAGTAATATCTCCAGATGAACACTTACTGGACTGAAGCAGCTCAGCTTTACTTGATTCTCCATTTTTTTCCTGACTCCTTTAGCAGATATTTGTTCTCATTTTAAGCGTAAACGCACTTAATTTTGATCAATTTCTCTTTTTATCTTCAGTCATTGTGAATCTCCAGCAGATGTATCTTGATTTAAGAATGTTTAGATGTTTGTACCGTAAAACAAGACCGGAATACTGAGGAAGAGCAGCAGTTTTTGCAGTGCAGTGTCACGCCTGTTGAGTTGGCTTTCACGCATTTTAACGGTTTCAAAGTTCTTCTGTTGAGTGTGTCGATGTGGATCAATGGCTTTGAGATCTCGGTGTGATGAAGGTCTCGTGTGGTTTTGATTGGAAACAGCCTCCATGCTAAAGACATGATGAATGTATGTTGTTTTGTCTCAGACTGATTGAAGTTATATGTTTATTCCAGCAGGTTAGCAGTGAAGATCCATCCTCATCCACGAGACACACTGGAGCCAAATACAGTAAGAACACTCTTCAGTCTTGTCTTGAGTGTCTTGAGAGACAGTTTGAGCTCATGAACCACAGCAGCTCCATTACCCAGAGGCCCATCCATCCTCGTGTTGAATTTATTATATGAAGCGATTGGAGTGCTAGAATTGATTTTATTAAGGCATCAATAACCTTTAACAATAATATAGTGATAGTAACATTAATGAAATCCGCTGAAGCACACAGATCCGGTGAAGGCTCAGATAGCTGTACTGTCTTCTGTTCTGGTCCAGGTCCATCAGAACCTCTCCTGTCTCCAGGCCGGACTCACAGGTCTCTGGGTCGACTGCGCCGCAGCGGGAGTTTGGACTCGGATCCAGACATTTTCAAAGCGGCCAATCGCTCCGAGTCTGAGAAAGGTGACGCCACTGAACGTTCGTGCGTGTCAGACGGGGTCGTGCTGAAGACAGCTTTTATATATATATGTTCAGATCACAGTTTAATGTGATTTTATTCAAGTTTTCTCTGTAAAGTTGGTTGCACAGCTTGGGAACCGTAATGAATTAGAACCAGTGTTACTTTAGCATTATTAATTTATTATTAGAGTTTTTATTAATATTTTTATTTAACTTTAACTTTTATTTTTATTTTTATCTTTTTTAGTTTAGTTAAACATTTTTACATTTTAGTAATTTTTTATAATATTTAGGTTTAATTTATTTTCAGCTTTAGTTTTTCATGTTTAGTTAGTAATTTTAGTGCCTCAGCCAGTTAGTTGCCACGGCAACATTTAAAATTTTTGTTCAGTTTAGTAAGGTTTTCATCTAATATATGACCCTGGAGCACAAAACCAGTCATAAGGGGCAATTTTTTGAAATTGAGATTTATACATCATCTGAAATCTGAATAAATAAGCTTTCCATTGATGTATGGTTTGTTAGGATAGGACAATATTTGGCAGAGATATCTCGCCTTTAAAGTTGTCCAAATGAAGTTCTTAGCGATGCATATTACTAATCAAACATTAAGTTTTGATATATTTACGGTAGGACATTTACAAAATATCTTCATGGAACATGATCTTTACTTAATATCCTAATGATTTTTGGCATAAAAGAAAAATGTATAATTTTGACCCATACAATGTATTGTTGGCTATTGCTACAAATATACCCCAGCGACTTAACACTGCTTTTGTGCTGCAGGCTCACATATTTATATTTTATTTCAGCAACAACAAAAATGTTTTCAATAGTTTTAGTTGATGATAACTCTTATGAGGACTAAAGTGTGATATTAAGTCATTGTTTTTGTTTGTCACATTGTCATTCATCACTGAGCAGAACATATTGAGTGTGAATTTCTTTCACAGGTTTGCCCAAGACGAGTCGTTTTCTGTCGGGCAGCGTTGAGCGAACGTTCTCCCTCCCGACTAGCTCCACACCTCCGGGCTCGTTTCTGCTGCCCTCGTACCCGCTGACCGCGCTAACAGGGAGTCTGCTGACCCCGACCTTACCGCGCAGAAACCACGCTGACCCCTCGCTGTCCATGTCCAACACGTGGCCCAACAAACCTGACATCAGCCCTCACCGCAGGAGCGACGGCTCTGGTCAGGACACACGATTCTGCCTACATACACTTTAGAGCTGTTCGAAACGAATCAAACCACAGAACAAACTGAATCAGTAGTTCACGGATTCACCGAAGTTGTTTCAGGTCAGGTGTTCAAGTGAACATAAAACAAAAATACAAAAGCCATCAAACACAAAACTACTTCAGTTATTGTATTATATTTGGGGATGTGTTGAATTAACATGTTAATTTGGTGCAATTAATTTTGGTAAAAATAACACGTTAAAATGATTAAGGTATTTAATGCATTTGCCCAACATCTGCATGATTGCAAATGTGATGCAACAGTTCAATAAAGTTAGTATTATGTTCATTTTTAGACACATTTTTGCTCAGTTTGGCAAACAACAATAGTTTGAAACAAAGTCACAGCAGAACAGTTGAGCACCTATGACACACAGCAGTGATTCATCATGAATGAATCCACGTGTCTGAATGAATCAAGTGAGTCAATGATTCAGTGACTCACTCATAAAGACAGTCACTTGCTTAATTTCTGAAAGAAATCAGCCATTTGGTTGAATGAATGATTCAGTGACTCACTCATTAAAACTGGCATTTTTGGTGTCATATTTAGAGTATCATTAAATTTTTCTTTATCATTTTATATTTCAGTATTCACTTTTTAAAAGGAAACATTAATACCCATGTATTATCATTATTTATTCAATGTTGAATCAAAATATTTATTTTTAAAGCTACTTATTTGTTATATTTATTCAATGCTTTTATCATCTAATACATAATGACTTCAATTGATCAAATTGTTGTGCAATTAATTTGATTAATTCATGTAATTAATTAGATTCAAATTTTTAATTGCTTGACAACCATAATTATATTACAACGTCAAAACAGAAAATGTAACAATCGTGCATCAGTCATCATCTGCTCATTATAGCCATTGAAAAGGAAATGATGTCATGCATTTCCCATGTCATTTCTTCACATGCTGTTCATTAATGAGCCCCTCTGATGATGTCACAGGTGAGGTGAGCTCCAGAAAACGCTCTCAGCTGCCGCCTCGAGCTGTACGGACCTCATCCGTCCATCAGAGCCCAAACACCAGCAGACCCTCGTCGCAGGACAAACAACCGGACAGAAACCTGCACCTGGATCTGTCGGTCAACAGCGGCGCAGGAGAGCCGGAGGACGAGCCGCTGGACCGCGAGGAGGTGTGTGTGAGAGAGTGTGTGTGTGTGTGAGAGTGAGTGAGAGTAAGTGAAAGTTAGCGAGAGAGAGTGTGTGTGAGA